TACTCCTTCACTCTGTGATAAGAAAATATGCTTGTCACCTTTTTACTTTGTAAAAGTCGTTAATATGTGTGCGTAATACATCATGTCTTACTATGATAATAGCATCAGCTAACCCATCTACTGTACATGTATTGTAACCTTTAGCCTCAGTCTATTTTCGTCCATTAGAGATGGCAGGCTATGTGACCCTTTCAATGATCAATCATATTTAAATGCAAGGAGCCATGTAGACACTATACTGTTAACAACTGGTATGCGATTGGATACTTTGTTGTATACTTGAAGCTGTATGATAACATCCAGGACTACATTAGCCAAACTAGGTTGTCAAAATACATTTTGAATGTTAGCAGAACTTGTTAGATACAGTATCGTGCCAGAAATATTTTCAACTAAATAATACAATAAAATCTATAATGTCAAATTTTAATTTCTTTTTATTTCTGAAGTCTTGTATTGCCAGGTTAAAAGAGACCATTTAACCCAATTCAGGCCCAAGGACTTGAAGATTTACCTCTTTTGTAAACCTCGATGCACAGTGCAGCTCTTACATGTATTTACATGTATGTGAACATACATGTATGTGAGGTGTCACCACAAAATGAGCTTTAAGTCGAATTTTCAAAACTTGAGATACTGGTATGTTTTAATTCAGCAGAGAGAGACCTTTCCATTGGTAATGGACCACTTACATGTAGGATAAAAGTATAAATTGAGAATGTGACATTATTCTGGTAGCCCTCCATCTTTGTTCCCTACATGTACATTGTTTCAACATTTCTGACCAGGCACAAATGAATGCTGTCGTCAAAATTGCTGAGAGGATGACATTTTAAAATACCGGTATATGATCCTGTGAAGATTGGAATTAAATAGACTCTTTCTAAATATTACAAAACCCCCAAATTGACCTCTTCAATATTTGACTTTGAACCTTCAAAATAGGAAAGAGGGGAATGTGACTTAACGCTCATTTTGTCGTGTCAGGTTACATATACAAGTACATGTATACCGGTGCATGTGCAACCCATGAAGTTAGTAGTATTCAGCTACATTGTACATACATGTACATGTACATTTTTTATTCTTCTGTTTCATTCTAGTACAGTGATTTCATGATAACTTGCACGCAACTCAACGTATGAAATGAGCTAGCTTGGTATGATGCCCATAAAATTGAAGCATTTCTAAGGGTGTTCTGGAAAGCAGCATGTGCACAGGATAGTTTGTCCTAGCGGTGCAGCCGTATGCCGACTAACGTGCATGCTTTGTTCCCGAAACACCTGGCCAACAAACTGGCTGTCTGTTATTACATTGATTGCTTTCTACTATGGTCAGTAACATTTGGAATGTGATTCTGACAGTTCTAAATGTACTTCACCTTCAAAACTGGTACAACTGAGAATGATGCAACTATTACATGTATGTTCAACTGAGAGGAATCTTTTTTAATTTTAAGAGCTACTTCAATACTAAACTTTTAGAAACTGATGTACTGTTGTTATTTTACCTTAATACTAGGATGTAGCACTCCTCTGTGACTGTATAGTACTTATACTGTACTGTACATTGTAAATGCACATGTCTACTTGTACATTTACTGCATTCTCTACGTTGCCACATTGTTCAAATATTATGGTGTGCCAGACATTGAAGATGTGCATGTATGTTGTATGATGTACAGCAATGAATCATAGTTTACCTTCTATTGCCCATCTTGAGGAGAGGTGATGTCCAGACAGTGTCATTTACCCTACACACATACAGTAGCTCCTTGTTTGGAGTTGTTACTCAATCATTTCTCATGTTCTTGCTTGTACAATGCAAATTGTACAATTACATGATGATGTAGATGCCAGCCCAAGCTGTTCTCTTGTTAAAAAGTTAAATTTGCTACCAATTAATTTGTTTATTCTGTTGTGCCATTGTAAACTCTGGTTAGCATGCCCTATGGTGCTTTGAACTCTTACAGAAAATACAAAGCCAAGTAAGACCATAGAATGTATGGAAAGGTAGACAAAATGCCACACAAGATTGGCTTTTTGATAAGGGTGCATGTAAATATTTTCTCCTTATTAAGTATCTTTTCTGAGCACTTGAATGACCTGCCTTCAACGATTTCCTGGTGTACAGTACATGATGTCTGAGAATACATTTAGATTTCTTATTCCTCCATGAGCAGAAGCTGTATTTGTTTGATTCACAGTCCATGAAGCAAAATACATGGCAGCTATTGTCAGTTAATCATACATGTATTTGACTGCTGCATGTATGAATAATGATTCTATTATTTAGCATGAGACACAGATGTTATCAGTGTTGCATGCTGAGATTGAAATTTTTCAACACAAACAATTTTATACTGTACCATAAACTGCTCATTTTCAGTCAATATTACTGTTTGGATACATGTAACAATTCCTTTCTGCTCAAATTTGCTCTACAAATTGGGCATGTTTTATTAATTTGTGAGTTTGTAATGTACATGTAACCCCACAAAGAAGTTTTTCCTCTCCATAATGCCAATTCCTTTGTCCAGAAAACCCATATTAACTGTTCATAATGGCCCTTCTGGTTAAGGTTGACTGACCATACTGGGTAGCTTGATTAATAATGGATAGTGTTTGACACGGATTTTGTCACAATGAAACAAAGTCGATGCACATTTAAATAGAACCATCTGTTTGCATCTGCCCTGGATGGAAGGATATTTTGAGTTGTGTAGTAGACTCTATCTTGGCCCCGTCAGAGGTCGGCTTTGAAAACACAGCTCACCATTTTAATTTTTGGGCCAACTCAGAGATATTCAGAGATGCTGCATTGACTGTTTATGCCTTTTGTTGCCAACAGGAAATAACAGCTGAAATTTAACTATTGGAACAGTCCTGCACACACATGTATTCTGTGTTTGAGTTTGGCATGAATTCTGTTTAAGTCATGGAAGTTTAATATATGGTCACTAGGAGAATTTGTCTATCACATGCAATTTTACAGCTTCCCTGAAGCAGTCAGTTTGCTTCATCAACACAAGCCATGTTATCTTATAGCTGAGTCAGATCACTAATTTAGTTCAATTTTGAAACCCAACAAATGCCTAATGACATTAGTTTATTGGGTCATAAGCCATGCTCACAGCACTTTTTTCTCATCAGGACTTCCTCGGGGCACGAGCATCAGTAAGTTCTGATTCTTTGTAATAGAATTATCATTTCAGCTTCAGTCAACAAATCCATTTTAGAGAGACTTCAGCCAGGGTTCCTAATCATATTAATGCAAAGGTATTGCTCTTTTTCCCCATCCCCATTGTTAGTATGGACTTGCCGTTGGGGGAACTATTATTGTACATAAAGAGTTCTCACATTTATTTTTCTACTCTCAGTTTAAATTACATATATTACATATATCGGTACATGTACAGTGTATGTTGCCGTGTATGCTGCACAGTGTTTTTCAATTTACTGTCCTTTCTCAAGTATGTACGTGAACCTGTGGGTATCTTCATACATGTACATGTAGCTAGTGTGCTTTGTGTGGTAGTCGGGTCATCATTTCTACTCCAGAAATTGCATCTAGATTTCACTGATGTTGTTACATTCATTTTTACATGTCAAGCTCAATCCATGTACGTGTAGTTTACCATGGCAGTGGTACTTGCCAAACTGTAAAGAGAACATTGATGTACTGTATTTATTTGCATACCTTTATCAATATGTAGGAAACAACAATCTTTTTTCAAGTGTGTACTTCCCAAGACAATCAAGATTCAGAAACTACTGTGACCTATACCATGCGTGCCCTCTGCATGCCCTGCTAGCAGATGATTTCTAATACTTTGTTTTGATCTGGTTCTAATTAGGACAGTAGTCCTTTTCTTTGTTTGCAATCCCCAATACATCTGGTGTAAGAATTTCATCTCAGGTACAATGTAGGGCAGGGAAACTTCTCAAAGAACTCACTGTTCTTGCATATGGCTATCAAAATACAGTGCTTTGTGCTTTAAATTGCTTCATGCCCATATAATGGAAATATCCTGGTCATACACGTGTACACATGTATCGGTATGCTTCAATTTCCCCATCTAGAAATGGTACTTTACATGTACATGTACTTGCATGCTTAATTGAGTAAGCAGCATTTTAACATGCATAATACATGTATGTACCCTGTACATGTGTAAGCAGTTCATATCTGGGTAGTGCCTTGGGCAGAACCAGTGTTACTGTACATTTTAGGGTAGAGCCAATACTTATTTTGTTCATGAAATTACACCATTTTCCATCTGTTGCTGTACTTTACTTCCAATGTGACCAACACCAATTCATTATCCAGTGCATTTGCTTATTGTTGTAACACATGTGAACTCATGGTGCCCCTTCCTTGTCTGTCTGTTGGCATGCACTGATGCACTCAGCATGACAGTCTATTGTTCATGGTTTCCTGAGGTGTCTTGAGGTGTAATTGTATTACCAGACAATGCATCAAATGGATGGATATTGTAACCCAAATGGTGCTAAGGCCATTTGGTCTACAAACCATGTTTAGTCTGATGTTGAGTTACCCTTGACTTCTGTCCACTGTCTGCTGATGTCTTAATGCATACATTTACATGTGTACAAACACTATGTACCTGTTCATGTATTGATAGAAATGGGAGACATAAGGAAAGCTATTGCTACTACATGTTGTACCCATAATGTTATGGGTCACGTTTGCATGTATAGTACAGTGAATACGTGACATGTACCATCTCTGTGATTGTACATGTGCGGCATGTGTACCGATATACATGTTTGAATGTATCAAAGAAATAGTAGTGACGTACATGTACATAGACCAAATTATGGTGATTATTTGTAAAGTTCAAATAGTTGTAGAATTCTGTACATGTACATATACGTGTTTGTGATCATTGCAGTCTTGACCATTGTTTATTCTGTTTGTGTACATGTACTGGAGTTGACTCCTCTAATTACACTTTTGTTTCTTTCTTGTCTTTGCAGTCTTCCGCCGTAGATGAAACATCGCCATCTTACATATGGAATCACATACCACCTTGATGGCTGTATTACATGTAACTGTGGAGAACAGAAACACCATGCTCATTTTCTGATCCACACCCAGAGACATTTGGAAGTTATATTTTTCATTGGCTATTTATGTGCAAGCATGCGTACAAGGACCTTGGAGAACCTTAGTTGCTGTGGTAGTAAAACTATGCAATGTCTTGATTGTCATGGAGTTGACATCTTCATCAAACCGTACATGTACGATAGCTTGCAAAGGAGAAGTTGGAACTTGGAGAGACATCTAGGTGACAACTTCTTTTTGAAATATGTACATGTAGGAGTGAAGTTAAGTTAAAAGAGAGCGTTGAATCATTCATAGAGACTGCGAAAGAATGAAGCTTGTAATATCACAGTGCTTTTAAAAATGTGTGTAATGATACTTTGTGAAAGGATGCCAGTATCATCCACCTGTCTACCGTAGTTTGCAGAGACTGGGTGACAGTTTCAGCCTTTCCTATTTATCAGTCTAATTTAGGGCGAAGTGGAAATTTTCTTTGTCTCAGGCTACAGACCCTGGTTAAAGCGTCTAGGATTACTGATATGTCTTCTCTAAGTACAGTACAAAGTGGTACAGTAATGGATACATGTGCCGCTCTGACTTCAATGTACAGAAAATGGGTCCTACAACCAGTACACGTACATACAGAATGCAGTCTAAATGCAAGTATGGCAGGAAATCGATCTAGTCGTGAATTTGTCCTCTGCAGTGAAGTGAGGTAAGCCCCCTATCGAGACTAGCGGGATTAATTCTTCAGATTGCTGTCTCTCATTTGGACAGGCCTGGATCGGCCTGAAGGAGAAAAATCAATTCCAGTGGAAGGTTTTAGCCAATATTTGTGAGACTTCTTTTGCCCCAGAACTCATCCGCCGTGCATCAGGTGGCTGATGTGAGGAGAGACAACACTGTGGCGCCAATTTATCTCCCACAGGAAAATCATCATCTCAGAGGAGTGACCTCAGTTGCGCTGCAGAGTGCCAGGGAAAGAGAAGGAACAAAACAGGGAATGTGTGGAGTGATAACATAAACATGGCAATTGTCAACTGTGGGTGACCCGTTGAAATAATGCAATGGGAATAAAATTGTTTGTAAGCAAATATGGTGAAAGGTTGATGTGGTATAATTTCAAAGAGGTAAGACAACATTGCACATCCTTCGCCTGTCGTGAAGCTCTTATACAGTATGCTATGCTTTAAATTAAGGGTTTGATAACTACATGTACATGTAGAGGGTTTGTTTAAAAACGCAGTCTTTCTCTTCATTTTACATGTATGTCAAATTCTCTGGACTCTGGCAGCTCATTCTGATGAAGGAAACTGTTTCTAACATCTTGTTCAATGCATATTTGATACTTGTACCAATTTATTCATCCTGAACCATAGGTTGGAGGCTGTATTTGTACATGTACATGTACCTTCTGGTGGAGTTTGGATGATGATGTGATTCATATTTGACAGGTGTGTTAAATTCCATTTATTGGTGTTTCAGAGCCATTCAGTACTAAATGAATGGGCCCAAACCATGCTTTTGAACCATTTCAACCCCTATAGGTGAAGGCATAACTGTTAATTAAAGTATTTGTTGTGACTCTTGAAAGAGTAAACAAATGCAGTCAAAGTTTTCTCCAGAATCAGACCCATTTTGTCAATTTTGTGCCCAAAACAATAGTGGAAGAGCCCTTACAATGCAGCTGTATGGCCATGCGTGTACATGTACATGGAAGCTGGGCTATGTATATTTCTCAACATTAGAAGTTGAGGAATCCCTGGTGTCTAAGAGAGGAAATGGCCTGTAGAGTTGGTTAGGCCTGGTTCCCTCCTGATAATCAGGCTGACTGAGCCTCCGTTTCCTTTTAAATTCCCTCCTGAAATTATTGCTACAACACCTTGTTTGCATCAATGTGTACATATGTCAAATGATGTCATCAGCAGTGTTCACTAGACAAGCATATATTGGCTGCTCCTCTGCCCCTGCTCTGTAGAGAAAGATATGGGGATGGGGTTCCCTTCCTGTAGTAAATGCTATAGACACTAAAGAGTCGGGACATACATGTACCTGCATTATTGTGACAAGTTTTTGTCAGTTTACTCATCTCTAGATCATCTCATTCTATTGGTGATTTTAACTTTCAATTTTTTGCTCTGCATTTGTTGCTTTTGCCTTTAAATTCTCTGATCCATTTCCCCCAAACTTACATCTCGTGTGAAGCTGGAAGCCTGTACTCCTTGAATGAATCAATGTTGCCTGAGCACATGTGAGCCAGTTCGATATTCCAACAGCGCATGCCCAGTAAGAGGCTGTCTGGCAACAGCTATAATACGATATAACAGCTATAATGGGATAGTCTGACCTATCAGTACAGCCATGCGCTGACTCACGAAAGACCTTGGCTTTTTGAAGTACCAAACTAGCTTATTATACAAGTACCAAGTGCATAGTGCATACAGGGTCCACCTTAAATCAACTCAGTGTCACAGTGTATGTACATGTAGTTGAAACCTTGAATTATGAGCACATACATGTACATTATACATTTCACAATGTATAATGTCTGTATGGTTCAGTGGTTCATAGTTGAATCCATCTGTTACTGTGTTTCTGTGACATGATATACTAATGTTCATTGTTCTATGATGACGAGTCATATTAAGTCACTTTCACAAATTTGTTGGAAAGTTAACTCAGGTTCTAGTAGCCAGAATGTCTGGCGGAAAAATATGGCAAGCCCTCTACTCAGTCATGTTGTCTACATAGTGCTGCAAAATTGTCTTATCAGTAGTTATTTCTTGTCCCATGGATTGTTTCCCGTTTGGAATGTTCTATGCAGTTAAGAGCCAAAACCACTGTTTGGAATATTCTACGCAGTCGAGAGCCAAAACCACTGTTTAGAATATTCTACGCAGTCGAGAGCCAAAACCACTGTTTGGAATATTCTACGCAGTCGAGAGCCAAAACCACTGTTTGGAATATTGTACGCAGTTAAGAGCCAAAACTACTGTTTGGAATATTCTATGCAGTTGAGAGCCAAAACCACTGTTTGGAATATTCTACACAGTTAAGAGCCAAAACCCACTAGTTGGAACACAAAGCTTGATATTCATACATGTATATGTACATCTTGATTGTTTCAGAGGAAAACAAATTGACATGTACTATCCATTTGTGATATAGACGTTCATTTCTGAAACTTACATACAAAATATACATGCATTTTAAACCTAGCTTTTTTCCTGGTGACTTGTGTAAAGTGGAAATTAAAAAACCATACTCTATACAGGATGATGCAAAATCTTATAAGTATGCCTGGTTGTTCGAAAGTTTTCTTCTAGCATAACGTGCATAAGTTCAAGTTTCAAGCTGCTGCAACCATTTTTGGTCTAGGTTTACAATACAGAAAGGTCTTTATTCTAGCCTTGAACATCATGAGTACCAGACTGTCATTTTCACAAGCTTTTGGGTAGCCAAAAATCACAACTTTAGATATGTCGTAGCATTTTAAAGCTTCAGTAACATGTAATTGGTAGGAAGTCTGGGAAAGGCCAAGGTGAAAAAAGGTTGGAAGTGGTCTTCACTTTTCACTCCTGTGTATAGGAAAACATGCAATATCTTCAAAATGGAGGCTTGATATGATGAGTATTAACAATGTAAATTTGTAAAATAAAGTTGTGTCTTCATGAATATATATCCATAAAGGTTGTGGTTCGATTTCAGAGGGAATTCCATTTCCATTTGTAGGGCAGTGTCAAGTATTTTGTTGTGCTTTATATTGATTTCCCTTTTGTTTTCTTTTTATATTAACACTATCTAATTACATTTTTATATTACTATTTCTGTGCGTAATAATAATTGCGTTGTCACCCTCCCATACCTTAATTTTAAGCCCAGCCTTTCAACTTTGAACTTTCTGCATACATGTACATGTAAATTACAACTTGTAGTAGAAGGTTTAAATGTGCCAGTATCTTTGTACAGACTAACTGGATATGTTAGAGACCTTTAGTGTAGATCATACATAGATTTTAAAAAATAATTGTGATATGTGTACCGTAGATGCATTAATTTAAAGGCCAAATGTTTTAATCAATGCTGTATCTGTAAGTGATTAAAAACACATAGGTTTTCTCATTTGCCTTGTGTTACATGTATTTCATCCTTTGTAATTAAAAGAAAACAAAATACTTTAAAAATACACTGTATTTAAAAAGTATTGACAAATTATTTTAATGAAACTGTAATATAAGCTATTTTTATGATGTAAGAAGATACGTGTAGGGGTATTTTTGATCCTCAACCTGAAAAATTAAGCATAGATCATTTTTAGATTTTTGAAGAAATGTCAGTGCAGTCATTTACATTTTCTCAGTCCAAATGCAAAGATTTTTGATGATTGGATTGTCCACAAATTTATTTCCAGTGGCTTCACAATAGTGCATGGTGGTAATGAAATACTTCTAATCACACACAGCGATATCCTAAGTTTGGAATATTTTTTCCCATGTCATGTTGGCCTGAATTTAGGCTTGGTTGCCATGTCTCTGTAGAACATGAACCCAGGAAACTTTCCAACTAAGGAAGATTAATGAGCTTGTTTCACGCTTAAACACACTCTTGTGGAACAGCCAACAATTTGTACATGTAGGTGCACACTTATAGGTGCTTATTGTGAGCATGGGGTGGAAGTACATGTACTTCTGTATGTGTGGATGAGTGTGTACGTATGCGGTATATACATGTATTTACAATCGACAACACACCATAGACACTGCACTGTATGGAACCATAAAAGATGTACATGACTGTAATACTCAAGTCTATTCAGATTTTTGAACAAGCTGTTTGAAAGTTGGAACTTCTGTCATATTAGTGACACACAAACAAAAGTAAAAATGTAAGTCTAATATGAGAGAGCATACCTGTACATGTATATGACTAATAGCTCAGGTGGAGCCACATACCTGTAAATTTATTACTCTGTTGTGATGATATGATACCATCTTTGCACTTATGCTTAAGAAGATACTGACAATTTAATGTACATGTAAATAATGTAAAATTGCCCATCTCAAATTTTAAAGCACATGAATGAAAATATGTGGCATTGCGGCAGAGCTTCAGTGTTAGTAAACACTGGTACCAATGTATAACTGAAAATTGTGAATTTTTCAACCATTAAGAAGAATTATTAACACCAAATAGAAATTTTCTTTTGATAATGGTAATACATTGAATAAACCACCACAGCGTTAACTGGTGCTGTATTGTACAAAAGGCCACTTTTTTATATAGGGTTGAATTTCAGTGTTAATTGATGTTTGTATTTCGCTTCGTCATATTTAGGAAACTGAAATTCACAAAGTTTGATCTAAAGTTGTGAATGAGCAAGATTTGGTTGGCAGTTGTCAGCTTACAAAAGCATTTCATATACGTGTACGTACATCATTGTGTAAAAAAAGAGTTATTGACTGAATCAACAACAGTAACATCAGTACAGAACACCATCAATTAAACCATGAAAAACATTCTTCTTTCACTTAAAAATGCTCTTTTTCACTGTCTTAGAAGTAATAGCTTTTGTTTGATTCATTAGTTTTTTTTATTTCATTCCAAAAAATATTGGTGTCAAAGTTTGTAATTTGTCTTTGTGCTGGCACATGTTGGTCTGGTCTCTGTGAAAACACAACAGAGATCTCTTTTAATGATAATATTTAGAATGCTCACACTGTTTTTTTGTAATCCTAAATGATTATTTTCGCTGTCTGGCTCTCACTATGGGCATGGGATTAAATATGTTAAACATCTCCAGTTGTGCATTATGTGAATAAAAATGTTACAAACCTGCGCCAAATATTTCCTCTGGTTAATTCAAGGCCACTACATTTAACAGGATCTTTAGTTGAAGGAAATGACATCCAATTCTTCTTGAAGTTTAATATTTCAGGATATACTGTTTCCTGTTGCGTTTACCGAACCACTGATGTGTCATGTACACTTTAATATGATAGGTATTGCTTGTACACATGTATCAAGAAATTAACATTGTGTACAGTTGTACACTTTTGTATGGATGTAATTTAAAAGTTAAACGTTTGGTTTGTAATGAAACCTCATGCAATAAATGCCTTGGAAAATTTCTATTTCAATTCAGCATCTGTTGTTAGTCTGGTTTTGTTTTGGGGGTGCAGTGGCAGGAGTAATTTCATGAGGTGTTGTTTATCTGTCACCAAATGAAATTGTCGTTTCCGTTGCAGAAATGTGAAGCATTAATTATTGATTTGTTTTAACGTATATCACCTTATGAGTGCTTTTAAACTTCTCATCAGAAGAAATCCCTGCATCACTTAAGAATTAAAGATATTTTTCGTAAGAAATTTCATGATGTAGCAGACAGAAATGTACAATCACGGACTAACTAAAGCTTGCATCTTCATTCCTGAAGATGTTCTGAATAAAGAACGAAATATTGAATCAAACAGAGAAGGATAACTTAAAGTAAGAGAAGCTAATGTAAGTTTTCCTTTTACGAGAAGAAAAATAAATTGTAAAGCGCTTTGTGATCGTGGGTACGCTAAAAGCGCAATATGATATCGTATTGATTAATTGTACTCTTTATTTCACGAAGTTCATTTCACAGAAAAGGCTTCTATCTTGCCACTGTTATTTCCTGAAGTGTACATGTACTTGTACATGCAAACACACACGGTTTAATCAGAATGTAGTTATTCCTTTTTCAGGTAAAGTACTTTGACTTCATACTTCATGCATGACCTAAACAGCGCAATTACCGGGCTGAGTCACACCATGTAGTCGACAGAACTCGCTGCGTTGGAAGCTAATTTTACCCTGTACCTTGTTCATGCTCTGGAAAATCTTTCCCTTGCCGTAGTTGATCCTTTCCATGGTATACCTGAGCCAAAAAATGAGAGAGGCGGAGAAAAAGAAAAGCGATATTTCTTTACCAAAAAGTCAGATTTATTTTGTCTTAAAATTCTTAATAAAGCCAATGATGATAATAGAGAACGGGCATGTTGTAAGTGTATAAAAACTATGCCATTTAATTTACCTCACTCCTCTCAAAGCGCAGAAATCCAACACTAAGAATTTAGAAATGCAACACCGAATGCCGATTCGTCAATAAATGTCATCACAGGGTCATTGCCTTGCATAGAAATCCTATTTTAATTTCCGGGGTTTGGTCGGCGGTCAAAAGGTTACACACAGGAATTTGTGTAGGGTTTTATTGGAGTTAAGACAATCGTGACAGTAGTATTTCCAACAAGTCATTTCTACGAACTGAATTGTTGAATACTCTGGTTTTTCTTCCAGCTCAATGACGACTTCCGTGGTGTTGGTTTGTCAAGCGACGGTTTCCGTTTTCACGGCACAACGCATTAGCGGATAGCGAAAACTGCCGCACAAGCAGTGCGTGAAACTACATAACCATCGTGTTTGATCATAGATTTGGTTGTCTTTCACATACTCTTGCGTACAGTTGGGGGATAAAGTTAGATGGGCGAGGAGACTTCAATTTTTCAACTGTCGGCAAGTGTTCGATAAAACAAAATCCAAAGTGAAAACATGGTGGAGGAAAAATTACACCATTTTAAATAATTCAGAGAAATAGTTCCTTGTTTATCACCACACGTGTCCGCTCGTGGTCCGCGTGAAGCTAACTGTATGAGGTCGAGGAAAGTCCATGTGTAACGGAACGGGCTGGCCATTGTTATCCTAAGGATGATTAAGATGCTCTCAATATTTTTGTTGAGGCTTCTTTTTGACTTTTCGCCCTTTGCACTCAAAAGGCCTCAAGCAAGCTTTTTTGAGGCACTCCACGCGGATGAAGGAACGGGTGGGTGGGTGGGGGGGGGAAGCAGCCCCTTCTGAAAATATAGTGGGGGTGGGCCCCGTAAAAAGTGCTGTAATTTTCATTCTCAGAGGGGAAGTTTAGAGTGGATAGCATTTGTAGCAGTACGTAATAATTTTACTTAGATCACATTGGAAAAAGGAAATTTAAATATTCACTTTCAGTCAGGATCTTTTGGTTGAGTGGCGTAGCTAGGATTTTACTGGTGGGGGGCACAAAGGGTACCAGCATCATGTGGGGGCACCAGCTGGTGTGTTTTTTTTGGGGGGGGCATGTTTTTGTTAGCCTTTTTCAATGTCCATTCCTCCGTTTGTTTTTAGTGGGGGGGCACGTTCCCCCTTCCCCCCTCCCGCGCCCAATAACGATGAGGAGTCCCATTTCGCACAGTACGCAAGCGAGCCGCATCGCAGGCCGTGTCGATGTCCGAAACAGGCTTCCAGAGCTCACGGCTAGGTCTATTTTCTCCATCGGTGTCTCCGCGTATTTCCAATGAAGCGAAGCCATAGACCTAGCATTAGACAACAGATTCGGATGCAGCTGGTCCCCTTGTCTACACTACTTTATTTTCCTCCTGTTATTTCTACCCTCCCGAGGCTCCACTAAAGTCTCCACGTAGAAATAAATCCCACAATGACAAACCCTCAAATAAACATTTTTTTCCCGAAATCGCCCTAAGTTTATTCCCCAAATCAATCTATAAGAGAGAGCGTCTCTGAATACGATAGAGCCATCACCTCCTATCAAAAAACTGAAATATCCACAAGCTTCTTTCTTTGAATGTTTTAATAGTTGAGGCAAAGTAAGATTTTGTTCACTATGACCACTCATTTTGGGGGGGTTTCCTCAAGTAAATAAAAGTTTTACTTAAACATATCCCCATAACATAAAGATTTAAAGCTTGTGCATGTCATTAGGTTTGCGATGTCATAGGCAAAGCTTTAACATCGCAGCTGGTTTGTGCGCAAAAAATTAAAGACTGTTTTCTTTTTTTAAAAGGAAAAGTCCATTAATGCTTGTTAAGGCTTTCCAATAGGCCTACTTGTTTTAATTAAATGTGACCACCATTTCCTCCGGCAAAATTTGGGTTCTTGATTTTGTTATGTTTAATGCTTCTGTGAGACACTTTTCCTGTTACAAATTTACAAAACATCACCTTCACAATGTGTAGTTTAAGATTTTGAAAATTTACAGGTCTGACAATAATTAACTTATCTTTTTTTAAACTGTCAAACATGGATTTGAAATGCTTAAATCTCAAAATATCGATTGCTAAAAAAATCTCGCACTACAAAGCACAAAACCTTACAAAAATTTGCCGACCCCACACCGTACAGGTTTCGCGCTACTCGCTCACAATCACACGCATTGGACTTCCCACAAAGAGATATAATTTTCTGGCCCCCCAGTAGAATCATCTTCCTACGTGCCTGCTCCACACATGCAGTCGATATCTCACAGGAATTACTTCTGCAGCTGAATTTTGAATTACGCGAGTTTTGAGTTGATGGCGCTACCATAACAAGGACTTTAAGGCTGAGTCCGGGCGGCTTGTTCTCGTATGTTCACAAACAGCTCGATTTGTTTTTCGTGGGTCGGCCGCTCGAACGCCGGGAGCAAACAACCGGTTGGTTAGTTAGTGACAAGCAACATGCAACGTGGCGGCGTGCATGTAGGCTACGTTATTCGCGAGTTCATGTTTGGATGGGCTGAATTCTTTTCTATATAAACAAGAACATTCATTTCTGTGTTACGGAAAATAATCAATGTTAATTTTGCAAAACTTCCCATTGTCTATGGCTTTGGAAGCCATCTCTCTACTTTTTGCAGCTGTTCAAAAATCAAAATCTCACGAGTTTTTTCGTGTGTTCCTGTAAAACCCTGACGAGGATCAGGTGGTGTATGATCCTGTTCCGAGAACAGTGTTCTTGAGTCGTGTTCCCGCCGTTCGAGCGCGAGAACAAGAAACCCGTGTCAAGCAGGCCGCCCGAACTCGACCTAAGAGGGCGCCCTCCACAAGTATTTTAATCAATTATTTTGTTTAGAATATTGACTTTGAGGGCGCTCTTTATGTACGCTACAACACGTACACAAGTCCCAGGCACACTACTGACTTGTTACTTGCGAAATCGGGTGACATGTACTGTAGGCCTACTGTTGCCAACTTGCGTTCTTGGTTTGAAGAGAACGTGTTCATGACGTTTGTATGTTGACCATTTTTTTGGTGAAGTATTAACGCCAGTCTAGCTTTTGTTATCAAGGCGTGGGCGTATAGTATTTAAAGACTAACGTTAACTACTTCTAGGCCTAACGTCTTGAATGCATGTTGATGGCCGGCCCGTGAGCTGTGTGTGTGACTTGTGTACAGTGTAGCCTTAATTAAAAACTGACGTTAGCATGGTAAGCAGCCTTACAGGATGTGCGTTACTCTTCTACCATAAAGGTGGTTATACTTAAGCCTGATACTAGGCCTAGGTCCTAAATCATTTTTTCAAAGTTGTCGTGCATGATGTGTCTGGCAGTGACCCCGCCCTCGTTTTTTTTTTACGAATTCCACTGTTGTTTCATATTCACCCTGACATGCCTGAACCATTCCAACCCTTCCTTGTCCCAAGAATTGTTTTGACGATTTTGGAATTTTATTGCCTACGGACACCAGGCTATGGCCTGGATGCTTTGACATTTCAAAATTTCGAAATTCTGGCCATACTGGACAAGCTGTCACACTGTACATGGCATAAGAATTTTTAATCATGTTCATTGAGTCCCAAAATTTAATGAGCATGTTAAGTATGTTCAGTACTTAATGTTACATATTCACATGATTGGCTCTGTTGTATGCATGTAGGATCTTTCAGAGTAATTAGAAGGGAAAATAGAGCCCATATGAATGTGCAGAAATATTGGTTCAACATTCTGAAAGATTACGCATGGTATGTGTACCTTAAATCCTTGACATGCAAAGTGGTAGGAACATCCATCAAGCCCATGGACATACATGTACTATGCATACACATACTCTGTTGCTTGTCAGACTGTTTCCCAATGGTTACTTAAATTATTTCCAGCTTGGTTTCTAATAGAGCACTTAGCACTGCTCAACACCATGGGGATGAGGTTACCAGAGTGTTGTTTCTACAAGTGGTACCTTGGAGTGTTCCTACAGCTTCAGGATACCTTGTATTGTCTTTTGGAATGTACGTAAACCAAACTTTTTACATGTTTGTATGGACTCTAGATAATTTCCCCCAAAATTTCTTTGAAAATGCTTTGCAACTGATATCTCCCTGATAACCTTTTATGCACAATGTACCTGTATGTAAGTAATGTACATGCAGTTGCCTGTTAACTTTCGGGACTCAAACAAAAAGTTTTTGCAGGCATGGCCTTGACTTTGAAAGTTTTGAAATGACAGTGTATATCACTTCATTGTACGGTCTAACACCAGACTGATACAAATACAGCATACAGCAAGAACATGTAAGACATGTAAAAGACATTTCTGTCAAAAATTTGAATCAAATCCAGTCATGCCAGTCTTGGCAATTGGAAGACTCATTGGAGATGTTGGGCGTAATTAGCCAATCAAAACAAATGCACGATCGAGTTGCACTATGAGTCGATCCTTTCTGAAATCTCTGACTTCCGTCTTTCAAATACAGTGTTCCGCCACCGCAAATTAGAAAAGCAGATCGGAGAAGCATGCAATACTAGTGATGTATCATACACAGATTGACCGATCACTTAGATTGAATTATCACACAACGCACCCAACAGAGATATTCCAATCATAGCCTTATCGCTGTTCCTAGCTTAGACTTACCCTACTTGTGTGAAAGTTTAGTCATTTCAAGATGTCGTATGTGAAGTCGTTCCGTTTAAACATGACGTTTGTGGGGCTCAGAGTCGGGATTTGGGTTCTGCTACTTGATAGCACTCTTTACCACTAAACAGCTCATTAATTTGGAAGTATTTGACAGGAATTGGTCTGAATTTCTTAATCTGCAGTATTTGTATAAATAATATCTTTATTTTTAGAAGTATTCCACTGATGGTACCCAGTAGACAACTATTACCATGACAACTAATGACGACAGTGATGTGCCTTGTACCAATGGTAGCATGCCAGTCATTGATGAAAATATGCCAATGACATCATGTGACCGATGTAAACAAATGGAAGAGGTAGGTCTAATTTTCACTTGAACCGAGATCCTGCACCTTACCTTGAAATATCAATGAATAAAAAGGGTATTTAACAACCACCTTTTTTGAAATATTGATGAATAAAAAGGGTATTTAACAACCACCTTTTTTGAAATATCAATGAATAAAAAGGGTATTTAACAACCACCTTTTTTGAAATATCA